CCACTTGATATTGCGACGACCACATCGCATTATTGTTGCATAAACTCTCAGATCTTATATTTGAATAGCCACAAGTCCTCATTTCATTCCCATGTAGCTTCTTCCGATGATTTACCCTTCCAATAGACATGGAACACGACAACGACTTCTCGTCTCTATCTCCCTCAAAACTTGTAGTGGTTTTCAAGAACATCGGCCCTTCCTTTTTTAACCCCTTTACAAGTTGTATAGCCAAAAGTTGTGTTTGCCCTTGTGTCTTTGGTACCTTAACTGGGGCACCATACGTGATCCTTCTCGCTCCATGGCCAAGAGTCGTTGGAGATAGGGATCGATCATTGTGTGACATTTCTGGAAGAACTCTTGCCCAAGAATTATGTCAAAGATGTCTAAAGGAACAACAGTAAAGTTGGTTTTACCTTGCCACTTGCCTAACGTAATGCTTACTCCATGAGCGACTCCGCACACCAGAGTTAGTGGTGTGTTGAGTGTTGACCGTCTTGAGGTGGGTATTACTTGGACTATAACTCAACCCCAACTTTGTTGTTGCGGTCTTGGTCATGACGTTGGCCTCCGCACCTGTGTCGACCATAGCACGAGTGGGTCGTCCATTGATCTTAATGTCTACATACTGTATGTCGTATTCTTTCGACTTCTTTGATTGCTTTGTGATAGCTCTGCATAGTCCAATCATGCCAAACTACGTCGTGCCCGAACCTTGCCCTCATTCTTGTGCATCTCTCTCCCACCGTTCCCGTAATATGGCACCAAGGTTCTTCAGTTTAGGGCATCTTGCATAGCCATGCGGCCCACCACATATGTAGCAATTGTTTCCTTCCTCTCAGCATCGCTTTGACATCCAAACTTCTTGCCATCAGACTTAGAGGTGTCATGATTCTTGGGATGTGGCTACTGTTCCTTTCTTTTGCCACGATCTCCCCAACCTTGGTTCTGACTACCTCTCATCTCCTCTCCTCTCCTCTCCTCTACCTTTGTCATGCTTGTCATGCCTAAAGTCTGTCAAAGTTTTGGCCTGCGTGATGGTTTCATCAATAGTCCTAACATGTCCACGTTTCAACTGCGTCTTGGCTCATCCATGAGTGGAACAACATATCTTTATTCATGAGATTGGGAATTCGGAGCATGAGGGTGGTGAGCTGCTTCACTTATGCTCGTATGTTTCATATTTGCTTCAATTCTCTAAATCAGCAATTTACCTCATAGATGACGTTGTTGGGAAAGAAGGCCTTCTTGAATTCAACTCGAAATTGCTCCCATGTGTTGATGGTGCAAAGCCCATTCCCTATTTCTGACTCATTTTGCTTCCATCATAGCATGGCCATTTCCGAGAGGTATAATACGACAGTGTTGATCTTGTTCTTGTCGCTCTTCACTTTGTTACACTTGAGTAATTCTCCAAGTGCCAAAGGAAATTCTCCACCTTTTGCGCGCGTCACGAGCGCCTTTGAACATCGATGGCTTGGGAGCCTCAATCTTGGCCTCCTTGTGATCCTGTCTCCATTGCACGTCACAGATCCTGAAGCTTCAATTTCTCGAGCGCTTCCAAGTTCCATCTCGGCCTTCCTGGTTTCAATTGTGCTTAATGCATCCATGAGCCAACACTCCAAGGAAGTAATGATTTCCTTCCTCTCATATTTTGCATCCTTACACCCCTCCAACTCCTTACGGATACTGTCATTCTCCTCTATGATCCTAGTGTGACGACCCAACTTCACCCTAGAGGGTTGACATAACGCCATTCTAACTTTATAGATTGTATCAAGAATCTTCGATTGAAGTTGACTGCGAAAGTACATCAAGACGTGCCTATGAGATGGAACTACACTTTTCTTATGCTTGAGAGTGCTATTCCATATCGTTGGCCTTTTTTGACTTCAAGTTACTTGATGCAGATTTTGAATGTTGTCCTTCAGAAATGGATTGGAATAAGGCAGAAACAATAGCCAATTCCTAAAGCCTTTTGATGAAATCACTACTCTATTTTCGGGAAATCAATATCCAATGGCCAACTTGTTTTCTCATTAAGTGTGGAAAATTGACTTGTTGATAATGGAGAGAAAAATAGTCAACATTCTGATATTAAAGAAATGGTGGAGGAAATGGAAAAGAAATTTACAAAGTATTGGCAAGAGTATACTCCAGTTTTGTCTTTGGCAGTCGTTCTTGACCCTCGATACAAGTGGAAATTCGTGAAATTTTGCTTTTCAAAACTTGACTCTTTGACTTGTAATGAAAAGGTGAAGGCTGTTGAAGATAATTTGCACCAATTGTTTGAGTACATGAAATCTCCAGCATCTAGTAGTGCATTGGTGGGAAGTCCAGTTGATGAATGTGATACTGAGATGAGAGATGAAATGGATGAATTTCATTTGTTTGCAAGTCAGACATAATCTAATTCGGAAAAAACACAATTACAACTATATTTGGAACAGCAAGAGCATGTACTTGACTGCAAGGGGAATGCTAATCTAGATGTACTCAAATTTTGGAAAGATAACATGAATAGATATCCTGAGCTATCACTGATGGCAAAAAATGTTTTAAGTATACCTATTAGTACTGTTGTGTCTGAATCAACGGTCAGCATTGGAGGACGAGTAATTGGAAGATATCGAAGTTCAATCTTACCGGAAAATGCAGAAGCCAAGTTGTGTGCTCAAGATTGGCTCTATGGACATGGAGGTATAATTTACTCATGTTGATATGTATTATGACATTTTTTTTCTTTACTCTTTCTATGTAGTTATCAATTCTGTTTTGTCTATTTATAGCGGGCTGATGATTCTAATTAAGATGATATTGCAATTGATGTGGAGAGCTAGCTGCTAGGTTTTGAATGCTAATCATCGTTATTGCAATCGTTAGTAACTTAGTATATCCTCCTAGATTTGATTTACTGTCTAGAGTAGGCTATGAACAATGTAGATTCTAGGAAATGCACCTTTGCACTTGACTAAAAGATTGACATATTTTCATATAACAAACAACACAGAAGCTGTCAATTGTCAAGTTGCATTCCTTGTGTTTCTCTATTTTATTGGAAGGGTGGTGTTCAGAGGGGATGTAACTGAAATTTTGACTACTAGAGTTCCAGGTTTCCAGTTGCATGGGTTCTGCCTCTCTATTCATGATAAGGACAGATTGATCTTCGGTTGTTTGCTTCAAACTTTGTTAGTACAATCTGGTGTAACTAGGAGATCATTCCTTGAAGAATCTAACACAGTCTAGAGCAATCAGTCACTTAACTCTACAAAGATATTGAATTAAGACATGTTCTTTCTAGCTTTGAAAGGTGTATTATGACGAATTCATTTTTATCTTGATTGTACTATAAGATAAAAAGGTCAAAACAACAACAACAAATCCAATTTAATCTCACAAGGTGGGATTTGGGGAGAGTAGAATGTATGTAGACCTTACCCCTACCTTATGGAGATGAGTTATGTGCCAGCCGAGAAACGACCTCAGGTCGGTACCGTCACAGGGTACTATTCCACCACTGGTGTTTGATTATACAAAGGTCAAAGCATCAAAAGAATTTATGTAGCCACTGACTCACTGCTCATAACATGTTTGCACAGCTAGTGTGCAACTTCAGTTCATAAAGTTCTTCCACAAATACAGGAGCATACAGTAGCTTTAGTTTAGTACCTAATGCAGGTGATCAGAGTAGCTCTTTCAACTCAAAGTTTTCTCCAACTAACTCGAGCTCAGTACACTCGACAAAAGCTTGATACCACCTACAGTGCATCCATTCTTGATGTCTCATAATTAGGCCATTTGTTGAGTTAAATCGATCACTTGTTGACATAATTTGCAATATGATAAACTCTGTGTTTTCAGGATCTTGCAAATGTTGGAGCCACCAAGAAGTCAACTTCTGTATTTTGGTATTGACAAAGCCTATTAAGGGGGAACTTGGGCAGGAAAATCAAGAGAAACTGAAAGAAGATTATGATCAAGTTGTACCCGAAAGCTGATATATTTAGGCTAGAATACTTCATTTGATTTTGTGTTGGGAGAGCTTCTTTTTTTGTGGGATTGAATTTTTTATTATCATAAACTAGTTTCAGAGCTTAAGCAATATCGCTTAGTTTTTTTTTTGTCTGTGTGTAGTCTATTTTTCTCATACAATATGTTTATATTGTTTGTAATGACTTTGTTTTGTATTCCAGCTGGCTCTTTGTTCATAATTAATCTTTGGTATCTCCATCTTTGTATTTAAATTTTAGTCATCATCTTCCTTTAAATTAAAGGAGGAAGTTGGGTGAATCTGTTGGGAAAGATTGTTGCTTTCTCTGGAAGTGAATATGTTGAAAATTAAAGGAGGAAGTTGGGTCAAGTTGGGCGGGTTGGGTTATGACCCGTTACTTGACCTGTTTTGACCCAACCCCTTTGGGACCCAAGTAAATTTGGGTTGGGTTGGGTTGGGTCTTGACCCATTTTAACCCATCTAATTTTAACCCAACCCATCCAATTGCCACCCCTACGTTCCCCCCAATCCCCTACCCTTATTTCTGAATAAGCACAATTAGACTTCAAAGTCAGGAGACCTTAATCTGCAGAGTGAAAGATGGCCAACAGAAGGGGGCTTAGTCTTGAAGAAACTAACCAGAAAGAGACTTTCAAAGAACCAGTTCTCTAACAGGCAGGGAGTAAAAAATTTCCAATCATCGTTTCCTGACCAAACCTAACACCACTTAAATTTAGTCATTTCTTTCCTTTTACCTCTTCAATGTAGTCATATTTTCATTCTTACTATTAGCTTATACTCTACCTTTTTCCTTTCTCTTTTTTACTATTGAGTGAAGGGAGAACATAGCCATCCTAGATAAATATGTGCAGTCAGAAGCATTAAAATTCTCTAGAATACAGGATCTCTGACTCTCTGTAATGTAGAGAGGTCCAGAATTAATCTATATCAAGTACTCCCCTGGCAAAAATGGGTAAATACAGCAACTCGGAAAAGGAAGCATAAGTATTTTATAACCAAATACCTTGATTCCCAGGTTTCTATGCCAGAATTGGCAGTCAGCAGCCCCACCAGCCATTGTGCCAAGCATATATGGATTAATTTCAATGATTTTCTTCACAGATTGAGATGCTGCAAAATATTACAAGGAAAGGAAGATATTTCTTAAAAGGTCAGGCCAAATCAAAAGAACTGCAATAGATCAAGAAATAACACTTAAAAGAGTATTTGCATCGTCCAAACAAAGTAGAAGTGTATTTTACCTAAATTTGGAATAAACATTCCTCTAGTGAAGAACTTGACAGTCAACTATGACACACCCAAAACTAAAACATATCCAAGTCTCGTATAGCATAACTCCATAACACAACCTATAAAAGTTGAAGTTAATTAAAGTTTTGTTTCAGGTACCCAATAAATCAGACTTTTCTTTTCTGATCAATAAGAAATCAGATTATGTCTCTATTTATCCAAACACCTTGCTGCTTAAGACAATAATTCCAAGTTCTAGTCATTGTACCAATAACTATAGTGACATTGACAACAGAACCATACTCTTAAAAAGGTATAGCATATGACAGAGAGATAAACTTGAATAAGCCACAGAAGAAATTTTGTAGAACGTGGAAATTTTTAAAACCAATTACATTTTATGCTCAAACCGGGTAAATATAGCTTCACTTGCACCCAAAAAGAAAAAAACTCAATCATGAAAATAATGAGGTCTTGCATGTCCCGTATCAAGTCATTTGGCAGGGGCACAGGGTAGGCAGTAAGGTCACAACAGCCATTGACAAATGGATGCTCATAACAGTAGAAGAGTTGATAAGTAATTAAAGAATTTCTTCACATTGTTTAACATAAAGACAATAATGAGCAAAGGGGTTTACATATATATCCTCCCATGCTAGCCCGAGAATCAGCAGCAACCATGACACCTCCTTTAAAAATGAAAGCAAGGGTTGTGGTTCCCTTCGCAGGCTTCACCATTTGGATTGCTTCTTTTTGAAAACCATCAAACTAAAAGAACATACAGGATAAAAAGTAAACATAGTTAGAGAATTAGGACTTCATAGATCCCCAATTAATTTGATATAATCGGACACAACAGAAAAATAGTCAGACTCACATTAGCAGTATTAGGAAGATGGAATGATGGAGAATTCGAAATTCCATCAAACAGCTCAGAAGACTCCCCTCGAAGTGGGGCACTTGGTTCAAGTCCGCTAAAATCGATCTTCATCATTTACAACCTTTAGCTACAATAATTGATAAATCAAATACATTTCACTCTGTAATACTTAACAATCGTGGTAGACAAAAAACCTGATTGATTATTAAGAGAGAACCTAACTATCAAAGCTTTCTAACGTACTAAACTTAACTCAAGATATTCCATATAGCCTCAGTAGGATTAAAGCGAGCAATTGATATCAAATGCTGATAGTTCATAGTTAGAAACCAAAAATGGTTACTGATAATAGGAAGGTTTGGGATATAAGGATCAGATGTTAATGAAGTGGCTTAATGGTCGATAAAGTGGGTTGAGAACATGAGGTACGGGGTTCAAATTCGAGCGGAGACCAAAACTACTAGGTGATTTCGGTGCATACGAGTTGTCCCAGACAGCACGGTTATCAACAAAATTAAGGGTTAAAATTTTTAACAAGGACAAACCTAAAGATTATTTATTCCTATCAGGTTATTAATATTTATCACTTCCATAGCTCAAAAAGCATCATAAAAAATTTCCCTCTTTCATGGCATCATACTTCTTTTATCTGTGCTTCTGAGAATAGTTCTCAAAACATTGCTTACTAACACCCTAAGGCAACTGACTACACCATCAAAAATTTCAGTATTATAACATGGCAAGCAAAGCAACAAGGGCGGCTAGTGCCTTTAAGCCCAAAAAATAAGGCTCAAATTTACAAATCTTCAAAGAACCAAAAAAAAACCCCAAATTCAGTTCGAAAAAGGAAGCTCAAATACGAAAACATACCCAAAATGCACAAAAAAAGAAATAAATTCGAGCAAGAAGCAAGGCAAGATTAAACGAAGAACCAAAAGCACTGAACAGCCAAAAGATGAAGGAGATACAAACATAAAAAAGACGACCAGATCTGATGAAGGCGATGTAAAATGCTACTCCCTCAGATTTCATGAAATTTCGATACTTTTTTTCATTATTCAAAATAATTAAATTTTTTAAAGCTGTAATTGATATTTTTATTTATTTTTTTATATTTACCTTTTCTTTTGATGAAGGTTTTTTTTTTTGTAGTAGATAAATTATAGTATTTATATTTTCACAAAGGTCAATAATAAAAAATATGATTTAAATTATATTTAATAGATGTGCATTACTTCACAAATTCAATTAATATGAAATGTATAGAGTATTAATTGTGAGAAGCACCGTATTATCCAATAGCACACTTGGAAGAAACAAAATACCCTAAGTAGAAAACAAAATGGAAAAACTATATAGTAAGACAAATATATGCTATGCATTTATTATATATATAACTATAGTTTGATAAAATTATAATTCGCAAATATAATAGCTATTTTCCAATTTAAAAGTGTATCTTCCCATTAGTGTATTTCTAGGCTTAATTTCACGCATTGTATATTTAGGGAAAACTACACTAATTGGACATAAATACAAACTAATTACCATCTCATAGCCAACCCTTAAGTAATTCCCTAAGAGGTCGTTTGGTAGAGTGTAAAATGCTTGTATTAGTAATGTTTGCATTAATAATACTTGTATCAGTAATGTTTGCATTAATTATAGATAGACTATGCATATGTAATGTTTGATTTGGTGCATTAAAAATAACATGCATTGCATAAAAAGTTTTATTTACAAAGATACCCTTCACAATTATGGTAAAAAAAATATAAAAAATATTTTAAGGGGCAATTGGGTCTTTAACCATGCTAATGCATGGATTAAAATCGTTGCATTACTAATACCTAGAAATTCATGATAGTAGTAATACACAATAGAGTGTATAACGAATGCAAGCATTAGTCTAACATAAGTTCGAAAAATGTACCAAACAAGGTATTAGTAATATACAAAGCTAATGCATGCAATATTTTTCCTAATACAGTTGACCAAACGACCCCTAAATGTCCATGCAGCCTGTGTGCCCCCTTTCTAGCCTAGTCTCAGTTGACCTTTAGTTTGTTTGATACCATCACACTATCATTCAATTATTTGTGCAATTCTTCTTAAATTTCTATTATGGTATCACTGAATATTTTAGAAGTGTTTCATTAAGGATTGATGATTGACTTGGTGAAACAGTGATTGTTCGTCAATTATACAGTTTCAATAATATGATAATATATGAATATATTGTGGTAGTTTCATTCATTATACCATCAAAGGACTTAGGAAAACATTTATGATACAATCACAACATATATATATATATATATATATATATATATACTATAATGGTGTCATTCATTATTTGTGCAATTTTATGTAATGTAATAAATTGTTATGGTATCACTGAAGATTTCAGAAGTCTATCATTAAGGATTCATGATTGACTTGGTAAAACAGTGGTTGTTCCTCAATTATACCATCTAAATATCATGATAATATATTAATATATTGTGGTAGTGTCATTCATGTATGAATGACTTAGGAAAATCATTATGATACTGTCACAGTATATATATACTATGATGGTATCATTCAGTATTTGTGCAATTTTCCCTGAATGTCTAGTTGTTCCTCTATGATACCATAACAGTATGTCATATATTGTTACTGTATCATTGAGGATTTAGAAGTTCCACATTGGGGATTGACTTTATGAAATAGTGGTTATTCCTCAATGGCTTAAGTCATTCGTGGCCACTCAAAAATGTCTACATATTTCACTTAGATACCTCAATTAAGACTAGTATCTATTGAACACCTTATTTGTTCAAAAGTCATTCCTATTAAACACAAAATGCTGACATAGCGAAAAAAGTGTGTTCCACCCTCCTTAAGCGCATTAAGCAATTGAAATATTTTATTCTATTTTTTATTTTCCAACTTATACAGGTAAAATTTTTAAAAATTAATTAACTAAAAAAAAGAAAAAAGAAGAAGAAGAAGAAAACGTCGTCTTCTTCCCCAATTTAGCCATCTCTTTTCATCATCTCCTTGCCCCTCCACCTCTCTCTCTCTCTTTCTTTCTTTCACTCTCTCCAATTCTTTCTCCTTTTTTCCTCTTTCTTTTGAAGTTACTATATAGATCTAAATCTCATATTTTTCGGCATAACTTCATTTTTTCTGATGAAGATAACGCGAATTGATTTTTTTTCCGATAAAAGTTATTATTTTAGATATAATTATAATAAATGATTAGTAATGGAAAGAAAATGAAGGGAATGAGTGAAAGTTTTGACGCTATATATTCAATTGAAATGGGAATTAATGTTTAGTTTGGGCGCGCAGCCATGTCATAATACATGTGTCGAAGAGGTAAAGTTTACTGATGTGATGCGCGATGCTGCCGGTGAAAGTGATACATGATTTGATGAAGAGGAGGGGGTGGCGTAGGTGTATAGGTGTTTTCTTTAGAAAGATCTTTTTAATTTTTCAGTTAGATAAATAGATTAAAATAGTTAATTTTTTAGAATTTCATTTTTAAAATACATTTAAGATTTAAATGACACTTAAGCGAATTATGCGGATAACTTTAAGGGTCTGTGGATGACTTAGGCCTTTCTAATTGTTTAGCTCCAGCCCACACGTCACCTATTTAATTCATATAATATTAAATTGTTAAATGTATACACTAAAGCCCAACTCACATACATGACTATAATGACCCAATTGAATATGTTATGAGTCGGTTTTTTGTCCAGACATATTCTTGTGTATTCCTGCTAAGCTTCTCCATTTCAAGTTCTTGAGGTACGTTTTTCGTAAAATTCCTTCCTTCATCTTCCTCATAATTGTAATTGTAATGTCTTAAATTGTGTATTAATCTCTAATAATTACTCTGTTAATTTATTGGCCCCTTTCATATCCCAATTCTTGTAGTATATATAGATTGGTAGTGAATCATTTTCATATTCGAATTTATGTTTTCTATATACCTTTTAATTGAGTTCTTACAATGACGAATTCTTTTCTTTTAGAATTGATTTCTGATCTAGATGATTTCACGATAAGAGTTAGATTTTGTACAATGTGGGATGCCATTAAATCTAAGAAAAATGGCGAGTTGATCAGTATGGATATGATATTTATCGATGAAAAGGTACTTATTATATTGATTCTTATTTTTCAAATGCATATTATTTTTTAAAGTATCAATTTTCAAATTACTTAATGTTTTCTTCTATCAAGGCAATTTGATGCATGGTATAATTAGGAAAAATCAAGTTAACAGGTTCAAAGACAAGTTAAGTGAAGGTTATAGATTTATCATCAAGAACTTCAAAATTGTTGAAAACATTGAGGGATATTGACATGTTGAAAACTCATTGAAAATTATTTTATTAGCCTCAACTGCGCTCAAGAATTTGTTTAAAGATGTTGAAAATCCTATAAATGATTTTTAATTTATTAATCTAGATATGATTGACTCAAGGGTGAACAACACTATCTTATCAGTGTTAAAAATAACGTGGATATTGTTTTCCTAAAGTATTTAAACATCCACGTTATTTTTAAGTGAACTTCTTCTTCATTAGTCGTAGATGTGGTTGGTTGTTTATATGGAATCGGTGACATGGAGAGCACTGATTCGAAATGGAAAAATAAGGACATCCACATTCTTACTGATTAATAAGTCACTCATCTCATTTTAAGTTGATTTAGTTTGTTATCTTCTTACAAGAGAATTGTTTGATTACTGATTTATTTTTTTCTGCATAGTTCGACTAAATAATAAATTACCTCATGGGAAGAGCTTGGGGAAAAGTTTTCTCCATATTTGTATAACAAGAATGCAGACTCGAATATATTGATAATGACTTCAATAACTGTGAAAGAGTTTCGTGATAACCGTTTTTTATTGGTATAATACATAAACATGGCTCTTAACTTGATGTCAATTGGCAACTATGACCTTTAACTTTGGGTGTGCACAAGTAGTTATTATGAATTTAGTAACGTTTTGAAGAAATGTCATAGTTACATTTCAAATGCATCCATTGATAATATGTGAAGTTAGCTTCTCCACCACCTATGCAAGAAAAATATATGTAAATCTTGATATAGATTACACAAGATCTTTGATTCAAAAGTTTTCCACCATATCCAC